TTGACTGGTTTGTTTTCCTGATCGCAGAGGATTTCCGGGGCGTGCTGGGGGTGGGTACCCTGCTGGGTGACGGGCTACTGCACGTTAATAACAAACCCGTGCCACCTTGGTGCCTATGGAATGAATTCTGCACTTCTCTGCCTACCTAATGATAAGACCACACGGAAACTCTGAGTGGGAGAGACATCCCTGAGAAGGAGAAACAGGGGGGTTAGTGGTAAAGATACAAGAGGAGCCAAGTGGGAACGGGTGGCGTGTGGGGGACACCTCTTCCCTTATGCACCAGGAGCGGGAATGTTTTTGTTCGAATGCCCTAGCCCCTGGCTGGGCCCTGGAGGGGCAGTAGCGCAATTCTTTTATTCTCTTTTGATTTTCCCACCAGTAACTCCTTTTTGTTTTTTAATAAATGGACCCACATTCCCAGTTAAAGTTTTTCCACAACCGGGTCTAAATGGCTTTTATTTCCCTGTGATTATGGTGCATTTTATTGGTGGTGCAGGAGAGGGTAGGAAAAAAAAGTTAAAGTTAAACGAAAAAAAACCAAAGAAACAAAAAATTGGCTTTTGATTCAAGTAGATGCAGCTCTGCCCATTAATGACAGTGAAATTGTCTGTTTTTTCCATATGTAAAATGGGGTAATATCATCTGCTTCATGGGATGTTGTGAGGACTTGAGATAAGGAGTTGAGATGATATAATATATAACATAATGTATTATGTATACTATGTACAATATAATAAAATAATATACACTATATTTCTAGCAGAAAGCTTGAATTGCCCAAAGTGGTTTTTTAGCAAGCACGCAGAGCACGGAACATTAGGCCTGGAGTTATCATCCAGTTAAGGTCAAGTTCACGTGGGCAGAGGGAGCAGTTCAGGTTAAGCAGATGCCAAGAAGTATCATTTCAAGATTTCTATTCAACTAGGGAGTTATTTGCCATTTTGTTCTTTTCATAGGGAAAACAGGAGACTTTTACAGTGTAGGAGTTGCTTGAAATAGGGACACCTTAATAAAAAAAAAATTGGGAATTACTTTACTGGATATTTACAAAAGTACAAAGGTTATTAGAGAATTTATTATCATGACTTTAGATAAGAATATTATAATTTTATTTTTTTACATAGAAAAACAGGTGTAGGCCAGGAGGTGTGAGGGGTGGGGGTTCGTGGTGTGAGGACTCACCAGAGAGAGAGAGTGGGGAGCAGAACAGGTGGATCTACTGAAATGCACAGCTGAGGGGAGCAGCGGGGAGACAGGAGAGGTCTGCTGCATCCTGTGGGTCAGCTCCCTCGCTGGGGATTGAACTCGGTCCTTATAGGTGATAGCAGTGAGACTTAACCCCTAGGCCACTGGGGAGGCCCTGTTATACTTTTAATTAATTTATACATTTGTTCTTTTAAAAAACCTCCTTTCATATTTTTGTAAAAACAGTGGGTTTAATTAGGAAAACACCACACCTTTAAAAAATAAAAGTAAAGTTTTAATATTATAAAATTATAAGTTTCTCTACAACCACAGAGAATTAGAAGTTAAAATCTATAATGTAAGCTTTATATTTCCTGTGGAAAAAGTAGACCTGTGTTCTAAAGTAATTTTGGAGATGGCTATTCTTCCCAGCACAAAGCCCAGGTTGCCAAGGTCATTCCTGCTTGGATTCCATCCCGATACTTAACATAGCAGACAGAAAATCACTGTCAGATTTGCAGTGAAACAGTGCCAGGTGTTTGAAAGCCTAAACTTTGCTCCCTGGGGAGGTTGTTAGATAAGAGGAGGGAAGTAAAGATATTTGATCACATGACATGACTCTTTAGAAAGGGATCACTTGAGGGCGCGTGCAACGGAGTCAAACCTATTAAAGTACAATTAGATGAAATAGTAAAATCTGCATGGTGTTGGCGCCTTGTTTTAAACGACTTCTACATCCGTTATTTTAGAAGTCAGTTGACTTAGAAGTCAGTTATTTTCTCATATTTTTTTTATTTCTTTCAACCTGTGCTCAGATGATCAAGTTGGAATTGCTCCAAAAATTCAGAATGAATGATGAAGGGAAGTGTAGGGTAAGGAAAAAAATGTCAGGCTTTTCTGCCCTCCCGCCATCAAAAGGGATGATGGATCCCTGCGGTCCTGAGTGCATGCCTGAGGGCGGCACCTGGAGTGGGGTGTGGGCCTAGGGAGATGGGATTCACCTGGGCTGAGACTGGACTTTTAAGGACAGCGTCACGGGGATGCCAGCAGAAGCCGAAGAGAAGCTGAAGAGAAGCCGAGAGAGAAGCAAAACAGAGGCAGAGAAGGCTGGGAGGCCTGCCAGGCTCCCAGGCCCCCAGCACCCCTGCCTGCCGTGTACCTGGTAATCCCAATAAAAGCCTGCAAAACCACTGAGGACTCTGACTCCTCCTTGACCCCGTCTGCTGGATCAGAAAACCTGCCCTGTGTCCATTCCTGCCCCTACAGGAAGGCGTTTAATTATAACTTCAATACTTTATAAATTTTAAACATACGAAAACATTTTGGGAGCAACTCTTCAAATAAGTTAAAAAAATCTAAATATTAAAATTATAGATGGTACCTACCTTGACCTTGAAGTAAACAACATAAAATCAGTGGCATTATCTTTAAAAAACAGACAAAACAACAAACCAAAAGCCAGCTACCCCAACCTCGTGAAATTACTTGGTGGCTTTTATTTTTTTCTTTATATTTTTTATTTTTAAGCAATATGTGCTTCCCCACCTCATCAGGTGTCGTCCCCGTAGTTTCCTTCCCCAAGGCACCCGTGCACCATCACCTCAGTCCCCTGGGCTCCTCCCTCCCTCCCTCTGACCCCTCTCCTGCCTCCTCCCCTGCAGGATGTCTCTATTTATAATTGCTTTTGCTTTGTTGTGTTTTGTACTGTTATTTTTTTTTTCACACTGATGTCTTATTGGGTTCCCCTATATTCCTGCTATAAGTGAAACCATCCGATATTTTTCTTTTTCCTTCTGGCTTACTTCACGGAGCACCATTCCTTCTAGTACAATCCACATTGCTGCGAATGGCATGAGTTCACCTTTTTGATTGCTGAGTAATATTCCATGGTGTGTATATACCACATCTTCTTGATCCAGCCAACTTGATGTCTTTTAGATACTAAATGTGGTTGAATTATACTCAATGTGTGTTAAAATAAATGTGTGTTAAAATGAGATCCCTCACAAATGAAGCCCATTTCAGATTGCTTTGTAAACATGGCAACTAATATTAATTTTATAATGAGTGGCGAGACATGATACCGTTTGCCATTGGTTACAGGGATTCAGAGCCAGACGAGCACATTTACAGCTGGAAAGAATTGAGTCACCTTGACAAGCCTTGAGCCAGTTGAGCAAGAGGCGTAAACATTGGCTCCAAAACAGACCTTTGAGACACCCGTAGGTGTGCAGCCTCCCCGGCCGGGAGGGTCCCCGTGGGCTCCGACAGACTAAAAGAGGGTTTTGGAGCCGCGGGGTCATGTTCCCAGGTTTTCATCGTCACCAGGAGAAACAAGTCGCCTGGAGACGGACCTGGAACCTCCCCCAGGTGAGGCCGCCTTCATCCCTCCCAGGCACAGGTGTGCGCCCTCGCACATGCGCCCGCCCGCCCGCTCAGGTGTGCGCCCTCGGGCCCGCGTGCCCAGCCCACGCGCCTCTGCGCGACACCATCAAGGCCACCGGGGATGGCCACGGAGCCGGGGGCGCAAGAGCCCGAGCGCGCGTTTGCCGGCACCGCGGATGCGCCGCGCTGCCAAACTCCCTGGATGGACCGAGTCCCGCGCGCCGGGTCGTCTCTCCCCAGCTCCGCGCTCCTCTCCATCCGTCTCTGCCCCGCGCTCCAAGCGCTGCGCCGGGCTCGGCCGCCGCCACGTCTGAGGACCGCGGCCCGGGAACACCCGCCACGCGGCCCCCCGCGGCTGAGCCCCGCGCGCGGGCGGCTCCCGCTCGAAGGACGCGCCCCGCGGGCGCCGCGTGACCCCGGGGGCCGGCCTGGGGGCGGCGGCCCCGCCCCCCACCCTCCGAGAGCTGGGAATTTGGGCAACCGCAGCATCTCCGAAGCCGGAGCCGCTCCTCGTGCGGAGACCGCGCGCGCCTCTGGGGGGAGACACAGGCCGGCTTTTCCGCGGCGAAGCCCGCGCGTCCGCCTGCGCCTGCGGCCGCGGGGCTCCCGGCTCGGCTCGGCTCGGCTCCGGCTCCGCTCCGGCTCCGGCGGCGCGCGGGGGACGCCGCCCGCCCAGCCCCGGCTGCTGCGCGCTCGGCCCGCGGGGGACCCGCCCCGCCTCCCCGGCACTGGGCGGGGCGCGGCCGGAGCGCGGGGGCTGCGCCGCAGGTGACTTTGCCGGGGACGCGGCGGCTCCGGACCGCGCGGCGCGCTCTCCCCGCGGCGCCCGCTCCGCTCCTCGGGCCGCCCTCGCTGCAGCCCGCGATGCCGGCCGGGGCCGCGGCCGGGCGGCGCGGGGGCGCGGGCCGCGGGGCTGCGGCTTCCCGGGGTCGGCGCTGAGCGGGGTCCGCCCCCTCGGCCGGGCTCCCCAGGACACCCCGGCGCCCGGCGGGAGACGCCGACAGCGAGGACCCTCCGCGGCGCGCTCCGTCCAGGTCCCGACAGGACCGAGTCTCGGCGGCGGGGCCGGCGCGCCCGCCATGGAGCCCGCGCCCTAGTCGCGGCCGGACCGCCCGGAGGGTCGGCTCGGGGGCCGCGGGGCGCACCCTGGATTCGCGCCCCGGCTTCGCGCCCGGAGACCGCGCGGGGCTGCGGACTCGCCCCCCGTGCGCGCCGCTCGCGGCACCGGACCCGGAGGACCCACGCGGGAGGGCGCAGCGCCCGCGCCGCCGGCCACCGCTTTCGGGGCTCGCGATCCGACGCCCGAGACCCCCGACGCCGCGGCGCCGTCCGGGGTGACCTCGCGCCCGAGCGCCCGCGCGGACCGGCCCCGGAGCCCCTGGACGGCGCGGAGAGGGCGAGGCTGGCGCCGCGCTGGAAGCCGCAGGAGCCTCGCCGGGCGTCGCCGCCTCCGGGAAGCCGGGCTGCAGGTAGGTGCCGGCGCGGGGCGCGGGCGGGGGGTGCCTGCAGCGGGGCGCGTCACCCCATCCCTGCGGGCGGCCGGGCCGGGGGTCCCTCTGGTCTCGCCGCCGCCGCGCGCCCGGCCCGTGACTCGCCGGAGCAGGACGGACCCGGCGCGCGGCTCTCCCCGGAGCCCCCACTTTCTGTGCACTCCTGGGGACTTCATCCCGGGGCCTGTGTGGGGCCGCGGGCGCCCCGGGAGGCCGTGGGTGCCCCCCCCCGCCTCTGTTCTCATAAAGAGCCATCGGGGCACCCCCAGACCCGGACCCGGAGGGCTGGGGACGGCGCCTCGTCACGGAGCGGGGTGACGCGCTGGGAGGCCCGGGGGGAGCTCGGGAGGAGGCGCTTTGCGCGAGCTGCGTGCGGAGAAAGAACTGCCGGGGACATCAGAGGAGGCGCCCCCCAAATCCTGCTCGCAGGACGCGGCTTTTCCGCCCGCCCGCGGGGTCCCTGCTCGCCGCCCCCGAGGCCGGGCCCCGCCCGGAGGCGTCTTCTCGGGGTCGGGGGTCGGCGCGCGTCGGGGAGCGCGTTATTTGCAGAAACCGCCTTTGCCAAGGAAAGTTTGGGGCCCGCGCCCCGCGCCCGTGGGGCTGCGGCTGGGACTGTCCGTCCGCACCCGGGAAGGAGCCGGCGCGGGAGCCCCGGGTGGACGCGAGGCTCGCTGCTCCCCGCGCACCCCGCGGCCGGCCGTCGCCCGCAGCCTCGGGGAGCGAATGTGGGGCCCCTCCGGGGACCACCCCGCCTCTCCGCGCGCGCGGGGCGCCCTTGGCTGGCGGCAGGGCGCGAGGGGAGAAGGCGGCTCGTCTCGCGTGGAGTCACCTCTTGCGTTCTGCAAAGCCGGTCTCGGCAACCCCCGACCCAGCACCCCTAGACGCGCTCCCTGCTCTGGAGAGCACCCCCCGAGCAGTCCGCGCGCCGGGGGTCCTCAGTGCGCGAGGGATCGCGTGGCTCTTGGCTGGGGATCGCCGCCCGGCTCCGGCTCCGGTTCGGCTGCTGTCGGCACCGGCGGGCAGCCCGCGCTCCGGGCGCGCGTTCGCGGCGCTCTCGGGCAATGCCCGCCAGGACAGGTGAGTCGTTCGTGTGAGGTTTCTGGGCAAAGCGCTACATGGCAACCACTAAAAAGGAGGTTAAAAACCCCTCCAAAGTCTTGGAAACCCGAAGCGCTCGTGCGCTCGTGTGGACGCCGGTGTGGCCGTGTCTGCAGGTGTGTCTCAGGCAGGTGAGTCTCAGACAGGTTCCGACCTGGCACAGAAGGTTTTTCTTTTTCCTCTTTATCTCGTCTGCTGCTTATCCTGCGTCGGTTGTTTGCGCATTGAGCTTGGGAGTCCTAATTTTTAGTCCATCAGTAGCCATCAAAAGGCCACCAGTCCCCGCACTGGAGCCCAGTTTATTTTCATTTCTTAGTTTTAAATTAAACCCGGGCTTGAATTCTTGGCTGAGCGCAGGGCCACAGCCCTGAGCGCTCAGGCATGGGTGAACCTTGCAGGAGGCGGTCGGGGTGTCCTGTGTTACTTTATTGAAATTTGGCTTTTCTGAGACTCAACTCCTGATTCTTTTCTTGCCTGTCATAGAATTGAGTGAATCAGATGCTTGACTGTATCTGCTTATGCACTTGTGGGATGCGTTTCTTAAGGATGAGCCAAAACCCCCTTGACTTGAAAGCAAACATGGACTCACTGTGACAGGGACGCGCGGGTGTCTGAATAGGAGGTTCTGAATGTGAAGTGTCGTCACTGCTTTCACGGTGACAAATTGGGGAACAAAGATTCATTGAGAGACCCGCGGAGCGTGTCAAAGAAGACACATTGCTTCGAGGCTGCAGGATGGTCTTTACCAACCACCCGGTTACAAAAGGAGATGGCACAGCTGTCAAAGGTCTGTTTTTAGACATGGCCACGTTTCCTGTTTAAAAATTTATGAAGTGATGGCATTTAGGCCGTGATAGATTTTATGAAAATAATTTATAATCTCATCAGAAAATCGTAGTGGTCTTGCATCTAGGGTCATTAACATAGTGTTTTAACAAAAGTCCTTTTTACCACATGGTTGTGAATATGGAAATGTTAGGAGTGCATTTTAGTGTTGATTGATCCCAGGTTGCAGGTTATCAATTACCCCACCAGCCTTTTCCAGGTTTTTTCTGATTATGGGCCTTGTTGGTAAAAGTCACATTGTCCAGAAGTTCAACTGTGGCTGCAGACTGACGAACATTTGCCTCACGAATGCATGTCCCAAAGTAGAAATGTTCCAAAGTGTCATCAGTTATTTCTAATATATTTGAGGAGATGAAACAGCCAGAGTGCAAACAGTTCAGTGCTTCTGATTTTACTTCTGCAGTATTTTATTAGGGATGCCTCATTAAGTCACATTAATCTGCAGCTGTTTTGTTCATTGAAGATTCAAGTAGGAATAAGGAACTTTACTGTGCAGCACAATTTGGCTTTCTTGGTGAAAACCATAAGTTGAAATAAAATAAGCATCAACATCGTTCCCGTTGATCTATGCCTGGCATTTTCAAATGCAATTCATCAACCTGTTATTAGTAGGGCACCATCAAAACAAAGTAGAGATGTGTTAGCACAGCTGCTTCTAGATAGCACGGCCAAGCCAGCTGCATTAGCTTTGTGTCTGGTCCACACACCTGCATAGTATTTCACATGATGGATCTTACGAACCATTGGTTTTTTTTTTTTTTTTTTTTTTTTTTTTGGGTCATGTAACCTGGTGATTTTGCCATTTTGCTAGAAAATTCTATGGCTAACTTTATTGTGAACTACTTGAGGTGTATAGAACTATACACCCCCTGGAGGTGGGATACATTTACAATGAGTTTTCATTTTTGGAGAACAGTTTTACTGTAGGTTGGAAGTTTGGTCTCAAACAGGGAAGACGGACAGGCGGGCCTAGCAAACAGATCTAGGTGTTTTTGATTTCACCCACTACTATTAGATTGGGTACTTTTTCAGAAGTTGAATTATGTTCATTAGCACAGTATTCAGTGTTCTTGTCAATGAAGTAAAACTAACAATTCTGCTTATTCTTTTTCAAAAATGTTTATTGAGGTAAATGTAGTTTGCAACACTATCTTCTCCTTATTAACAAAATTTAAGAGGAGTGGTTGGACTTACTGGAACATGAGGACAAATATTTAGGTGTATTTCTTTGCAGTATCTATTCGCTATATACATGTGTGTGCACATACATGCACTTTTAATGGCATCCGTATAAAATACTAGTTTTATGTTAATGGGGGCAAGAAAAACTTTAAAACATGTCACCATTTTAAGTCCATAGCATTTCACTGTTTTCCATGAATGACTTATATTGCAAGTCTATCCATGGTTTAACGAAGTTGTTTATAATTGAGTTTTATTGTTCAACTCACTGCTACCTATAATGTTTTTCTCTTCATTTGCTTTGGATGTGTTCTTGTATGATAGGCTGCAAATACAAAAACAAAATCAATTTTTGTTCTCTCTGGGGGAGTAGTTTAGGATGGGTTGATTGAGACTAGGAATTTGAACACATTATAAGCAGTGGATATATCTGTATGTTTTTTATTTTATTTGTTGTGTATGTACCTCCACAGTCAAAACACAAACCATGCGTTACATTGGAGAATCCTTTATTAGTGACACATTTTTTCATAACCACATTCCTACTACCCTCCAAATTCGTATTAGATTTCCAAAACCCACCCACATCCAAGGGGGCTACCACCTGTGTGTACTGGATTTCACCCTGGGCTGTGATGGTAGGCAAGATAGTCACTGGAATCAGTGAAATAGGACCCTTTTAAGCAACTGATTTTTATGACTTGAGAAAGATAAGGCCTTCAATTTTCTTGGGATTGAGATGAAAAGTGAGCTATAAGGAGAATATAAGCTATAAGGAGAATATTCTATTTTATTCACAGTGATTCATAGGAATTGCAACCTTTACCTTATAGTAGATAACACCCTTTAATTCACTTCTTTCAAAGTGTTTTCTACTCCATAGCAGCTTTAATTGTTTTGCAGTTGCCTCTGAAGGCACAAATACAATTCTTCAATCCAATTTATATATTGTTTCTTTTATACAGTAGATTTGGAAAACTTGACGGAGAGATTGGATAATGTCATAATATTGCCTTCTTAGCAATTATGTGCTAGGCTGAATTTAGTACTTTGACAACATAGGGACAAGCAGCCAAGTAAGTTTCCTTTGCTCTTTTGTCTCCCTCTGCTGTGTAAACCTAACTTTTTAACATAAAGTCTAGAGAGGGCAAAATGGCTTTGGATGAATGTAAGGTTTGTTTTACTAAATATTTTTATGGGTTTTTTTTTTTGATGCTATGAATTAGTCACTGTATAATTGCATGCATGTGAATGGGCAACTGTGTTGACCTTTAAAGGTCGTGCAAAGATTCTAAACCTTTCAATTTGCAGTGCTAATTGCTTATGGTCTCTTGCTGCATGCAGAGTTTTTTGTTGAGTTTAATAATATAGAACAACATTTTGACTTTCATTGGCTGGGCTATATGACTCTTTGTAAGCAAAATTATAAAGATATTTGTGGTAGATACTATGGTAGATTTTTGGAAAAGTGTATTTGCTTTGCAGTTCAAGTTTTCAAGCCAGAATGACCCGGGCTAGGAGGAGACAGATTCTTCCTGGTACAAAATCCCATCATTCAAAATTAGGTATAAAAGCTGTCATGGCTTTATTTTTTCTGAGGTTTTCCCTCTTCCTTTTAAATGTCATTCTTGGAGGATTCAATGACAATTACATGTAAATATTGAAGGAAGTTCATATACTTGTTCTCTCCTGTTCTGTTATGAGAAAGATCACCTATGTGAGAAAAGCAGGCGTGTTATGTGTTCCGGCCTGCTTTTTCCTGCCTTCGTAGTCTTTGTTCTAGGGATTGGGGTAGCCAAAAAGGGTTGTGTGGTTACAGGCATCTTAATAACAAAGCCTCAGCTAGTACTGGA